CTGCGCCCAGACCGTGCTTTGTAGGCTGCCTGGGGCCTTGGCAAACATCACTTTCGACCCCAGCACGGTGCCAGCTGGTTTTGCAGATGGAGAAACTGAGGGTCCCGGAGGTAAAGTGTCTTGTGATGGCAGAGCCCGGGGCAGGTACCTCTCCAGCGGGCCTCTCTGCACCCCGCAGCCCCAGCACACTCCGCTGGCTGCCTCCCCAGGCTGGCTTTTGCCACCCTGGGACCCCCCTGTGTGTAAAAGGTGGCCCTTTGTCAGTCCTGCTGGGCTGGGCTCTCAGGGGGATGGGGCTGGGCCCACACACTCCCTTCCTGGTCTCTCCCAGCCTGGGGGCGTGCTGTGTCTTCAGGTCAAGTCCAGATGGACTTAGTCATCTAGTCTGGTCCTGACGAGCGGGGTGGGGGGTGGGGTGGGGGGGGTGAGGAGTGGCTTAGAGAAGCAGGACTAGAGGGACCGTACCCCATTCTTCCTTGGATAGCATTTTGGTTAAAAGCAAAGATGGACCTGAACACTGGCTGCTGGATTTCAAGCTCTGTGACTTTGGACAAGCTATACGCCCTCGTTCTTCACCCGGGAAGTGGGATGCTAATATCACCGTCTCGCAGGGAGGCGTGAGGGTTGAGGATCATGGGGTCTAACACACTGGGCACGGTGCCCGCACGCAGAGCGCAGTGGATGGCCACCATTGTGGCTGTTATTTCTGGCGTCTCCTTGCGGGCTCTCCTGATCCCCTGCTTCCGCCATCAAGACCCCCTGCTCCCTCCCCCTCCCTCCAGTTCCATCGGCTTCGGGCTTCGCCCTGTCTTCTGGGAGCCCAAGCCGCTTCTGTAGTGGAATGGGGACGTGGACAGAGGGACCAAGGCTGTGTTCTCCAGGAGGAGAGGTGCCCCCACACTGGGCCCTCCTGTGTCATCTGCGCCCACAGGTCAGCATGAGAGCCAGAGCCCGGAGCAGGGGGTGGGGGGCAGAGATCCACTCTACAAGCCAACGAAGCCCAGCCCGAGGCCCAGGGTCACGGGCCCAGGGGCACCTGGCGTGGCACTCACGGTCGGGAGCTAGGCGGGCGTGGCTGGCGTTGCTGTGGGAGCCGGCCTGGTGCACGGACTCGTCCACCACGGCCGCCATCCAGATGGCCAGGTTGGTGCTGAGGGTGAACATGAGGCCACACCTGTTTGGGGGGGGGAGAGAGGAGAGCCAGAGGCCAGTGACACCCTTGGCTCGTCTTGGGTCGCTGGCAAGATGGAGAGAGGGTCAGGAGCTACAGAGGCAGGTGGTGCTGAGACACAAGGAAGCAGCCAGGCCCCCGGGCGAACAGGAAGCTGAGTTTGGAAGAAACAGCCTGGCAGGATGCCGGGATGCTGGGGGTGGGGGCACCCAGGGGCTCAGGCCACCCTGCTCCCTTTCCTGGGGAAAAGGACATTTAGTGCATTGCACAGCCCATCCCGCCAAAGCCATGCAGGCACACACACACACACACACACACACACACACACACGCACACCACTGCACGGGGGATGGAAATGGGAATCAGGCTGCCTAAGGGACAGAGAGAGGCCCCAGGCCCAGGTTGGCAGCCCTCATCTCTCATGCAAGGTGAGCGCCGGCATGCACGCAGGGCCAGGAGGGGTGGGCAGGCCCTCACCGGGTCAGGTCCAGGTGGACGTGAACACAGTCCTTCGCCGAGACCCAGAGGAAGTAAGTCTGCGGGAGAGAGAGTGGTGCGGTCACTACTCTGCAGAGCAAACACAGCTGAACTCAAGTGCCCACGCCCACGCCCAGCAAATTCTTTCTGCCTCTAAAGCCCTCACACCAAGTTATTGAGTTTATTTTAGCTCCCCCAAATGCGGCCGGGAACAATTCACATAAAACAGCGCCCTGTTCTTTAGTAGTTTGTAAAATGTCACCCGTAAGACCTTCTGGTCCTTGTGTTTGTTTTCTGCAGGGTCGAGGCCCGGCAGAGTTTGAGTGTCTGGTTATTTATTCCCGGGAGCAAGGCCAGCCTCAGGCTAGGTCTTGTCCGAGGTGGAAAGACTCTTGGTGACGTCTCCCTGGCTTTGGCAACACCCCCTCCCCACCGTCATCCTTGATTGCCCTGTGAGGCCTCGCCCTCCTCTGGCTGCCAACCAGTCCTTGCCCTGTGGGGTATCTGTGTTTCCCTTTCACTCCAGTCTTCTTCAAACCCACAACATGTGAAAGACTAAAGCGACATGAATGTCAGTCAGAAACTGTGGACAGCTGTGTTGGGCTGTGGACAGCTGGCCCAGGGGAGGAACCATACACGGGGTCCTCCTGGTCTGACAGGGCTGGGTCCGTCTGGTTCCGGGAAAGGCCAGTCCTGCCTCAGCTTGGTAGGAAGATCTTTCAAAGCGTTATAGATGGGATGAAGAGAATAATATATCTGAACATCTAGGAAACCCCCAGGCACAGCATATGCTGTTTCCTGAACAAAGACCCTCTAGGGGTCAGGGCTGAGGCCAAACTGGCCATGCCCGGGGCGGGACGACCTGGGCAGAGACTGATGCCCTCCACGGGCACCCAGGGAGGGCAGGCTAGGTTCTGGGAGACAGGGTGGCTGCCACGCTCACTCACACCTGCCGGGTGTGAACTGGTGGCGCTGCTCAGGCTGAAGTGGAAGCACAGGGCCCCGGTGTGGGCCTCACGTTTGGGTATTACTTCATTGTCGAGTGCTACCAAGCGCCTCATGATCTCCCAGTCCTGCCCCCACACTGTCTGGCTGCTCAGGGTAGACTAAGAGTGGAGATCAGCTCTCCTGACCATCGCATTTGAGGACCCTCCCCCCACCCGCCCACCTGGACGATGACAAACACAGCCTGGGTGAGAGGGTACAGAATCTTGATGGCCGACTGGCACTCGAAGAAACTGGAGTAGTAGCCCGTCTTGAAGACGTCCATGACCAGGGTGCAGACCCCAAACAGCACCAGCCCGCCTGGAAATGGGGGGAGGAGGGGTGGATCAGAGAGGCGGGAGAGGAGGCTTCTGGATCTGAGGAGAGATGACTAGATGAATGGCTGGTTGGCTGGCTGGGTAGGTGGATGGATGGATGGGGTCCCACAGAGGCCAGCCGGCTGGCTAGATGGATGGGTGAATGGGTATAGAGGTGAAGGGATGCACTGAAAGGTGAGTGGTGGATGGAAGGATGAGGGTATGATTGAGTGGGTGGGTGGATGGATGGATGGATGGATGTCCCATTAAGTGCCCCTCTCTTTGTGGCTAAGTAGACAGGGAGAAGGGCCCTCCGTGGGCTCCTCTGGCTGCAGCTGTCACCTCTTCTCATCCCCACCAGAGGTCTCCCAGGACCCCCCTTTCTTGATCTTTAGACTCACCCCCTCGGGGACCCTCTCCCTTCCTCTTCTCCCTCCCCCGCAGCCCACCAGCCCTCAGCCACACCTAGTCTTTCCAGGGGAGGGAACATCTAACCCTCTCCCTTCACCCTCCCCCCCAATCCCTTGGGGAGCCCCAGCTTCCAGCCCTGCCCGGCCCGCCCCGCACCTCGCAGCCAGATGGGGCCGGCGTGCGCGTCGCGGTGGGGCACGGCGCCGGGGCGGCGCGCGGTGCGGAGCAGGTAGAAGGCGGTCCAGAGCGCGGCCAGCAGCATCATGGTGGTGAGCAGCGCGAACACGTCGGTGTCGTACACGGCCACCTTGTTGAAGGCGCCGCCGCTGACCAGCGTGCAGGCGAGCAGCAGCACGTTCACCGCCAGCAGCACGGACAGCAGGCGGCCGCCCTTCTTCCACACCTCGCGGGGGGCCCGCGGCCGCTCCTCGGGGCGCGCGGCCGGCTCCTCGGACATGGCGGGGGCGGCGGCGGGTCACTGCGGGGAGGAGCGGACAGGCCCCCAGGTTCGTTCCCTCCAGCGGCTCCCTGGATTCGGGACCCGGGACTTCCTGGCTCGGAGGGGCTTGGGGGGCTAGCGGGTGGGGGTGGGTGGAGGGGGCGCAGAGATGGAGGACGCGCCGGGAACGGGGAAGAGCAAAGGCGGAGACTGCGGGTCTCGAGCGGGGGCAGCCCCGTTAGACCCCGTCCAGGTCCCCGCTCCCCAAACCCGCGCGCCCCCGGCCCGGCACCCACCTGGCTGCGCCGGGAGCCCGCGCGGAGCTGGGGGTCGGAGGGTGGCGGGCGGCGCCTCTCCGCAGCGCCGGCCCGGGCGCGCGCTTTATAGCGGGGCAGGCGGGGTGGTGATTTGCGGGGTGATTTACGGCGCCCGGAGCGCCCCTCCATAAACCTCTCCGTCCCGCTCACACGATCCATCTTCCCTCCGCGCTGCATTTGGGGAAGAGCGCAGGAGCCAGATAAGGGGAGATTTATAGTTACCCGGGAAGAGGCGCCCCACCCCGGCTCGGGGACCCTCTTCCTTCCTCTTCCTCTTGCCAGAGGGCACCCTGACCCACCACGCCCTGGCACCCGGGAACCCTGAGAACTTATGTTCAGGGGATGCCCCAAGGACCTGGGGGCATCGCAACGTCCTCCGTGCGCCCTGTGCCTTTGGGCGCCTCTGTTGCTGCCCCAACTCCGGCCCCTCGTGTCCCTTTCCCCGGCGCCCTCTCAGGGATCTAAGTCCCCCCTCCCTCCTTCCCCTCTCCCTTCCCCTGCCCCCCTGCCCCCTTTCCCGTGCCCCCCTGCCCCTGCCCCCCTTCCCCTGCTCCGCCCGATGCGCCCACGGCGAGCTCGGATCCAAGTTCTCCCGCGGCGCGGCGTCCGCGCGGCTCTCCAGCGCCCCCTGCCGGAGAGAGCCTCGCTGCCCCGCTGGGCGGCGGCGGGCGGCGGGCGGGACCGCCGGGCTCTCCTCGCTGCCGGCCCGCGGTTGGTGCTATAACCCTCTCCGGCCTCCTGTCCCGGGGCTGGGGCTGCCGCTGACACCCCTCCCCGCCCTCGGCCCGTGCCCGGGACGCGTGGGGACGCGGGAGCCGCGCCGGGGGCTCCAGTGGGGACAGACCTCAGACCGCCCCTAGACGGGTCCCCCTGCGCAGGGAGCTGGGGGGGACATTTTTGGGGAGAGGGCAGGGCCTCGCCCGGTCACCCCGGTGCTCCGGGCCCGGGGTGTTTAGGACCCAGGGGCAGCCGGGGCGGCTCCCTGGCCGCGGGGGATCCTCCCCCTCCGGCCGGTGCCGGCTCAGATGTCGGAGCAGCGGCGGCGGCTCTGCGCTCCGCACCCACCGTCTGCGGCAGCGGGGCTGGCGGCCCCGGCCCCGGCCCGGCCCCCTGCCCCCACCCCATGCCCCAGTCCTAACCCCGAAAACCTGCCCCGCGGGGCGCCTTTCCCCGAGCCGCCGGCCCGCCCCGTCCAAGCCGGGAGCCATGAACGACCAGTACCACCGGGCGGCCCGGGACGGCTACCTGGAGCTCCTCAAGGAGGCCACCCGGAAGGAGCTGAACGCCCCCGACGAGGATGGCATGACCCCCACGCTCTGGGCTGCTTACCACGGCAACCTGGAGTCGCTGCGCCTCATCGTGAGCCGGGGGTGAGTGCCCAGCCCGGCCCCGCGGGCAGCGGGCAGAGCGCCCCGCTCTCAGCCGCAGCCCCCCGGGGTCCCCGGCCCCTCTCCTCCGAGCCTCTCCCTTCCCTGGGGCGGACCCTGGGCTGGGGCCTTGGGGCCTGGCGGTCGTGGGAGGGAGGGGGACACCGGCGGAGGCATGTGACACTTGTGACCTGGATATGGGGGTAGGAGAGGAAGGCTAAACTTTGGGGGTTCATGATTATAGGAAGGGCTGCAGAGGGAGGGGGAGCCGGGAGAGGTCTCCTGCGTGGGTGGCACCTTGTAGCAAGTGTGAGAGGCGCAGTGAGAAGGGAGAGAAGGTGCTAAAGCCTCAGAGGGGAAAGGGGGGGGCTAAGAAAGGGGGGGTTCCCGCGGCCCACCCAGGCTGGATCTGAGGGCTCGCCCAGCGGGGTGCCCCCCCAGGCTGGGCTCACACTCTCTCTCTGGGCTCACTGCCGGGATTTATGGCCATTTCCCACAGCACCAGCCCTCACTGGGTTCAGCCGCCCCACAACCCCCCTGCACCCCTCCCCCACGGAAGGCCCCTCTCCCTCCCTTTGGAATTATCTAGGGGGACAGGGGGAGCACAGAGCCCAGGCCTGAGGGCCAGGGACAGGGTTTGGGGGTAGCCGTTGAGGAACGCGGGGTTCAGGGACACGGAAGGGGGCTCCCGGGGCTGAATGGCATTGTGGGACCCCCCCCCCCCCAGCAGATTTACAGAGAAGCCAGGCTGGATGGATAGACACCAGGGCAGCCTGGACAGAGGGAACGGGGAGGAGATGTGTGGAGGGCCTGGCTGGCCTGTGGCCTGATGTGTGGGGGGTGGGGGAGCCCCTTGCCTCCCTGGGGGGCTGTTCCCGGGCCCAGCAGGCGGGGCAGCCCCTACGGCCAGGCAGCGGAGCCAGGTCCCAGAAGGCTGAGCCCCCTCCACGCCCAGAGGGCACCGTGATCCTGCCCTCCTGCCCCTCCCTCGGAGAGGCTCATTCCCCCCCAGCGCCCCCTCCTCCAACAGAGGGCACGGTGGTGTCTGGGTGTGGGCACCAGATGCCAAGCAGCCCTCCCCTCGTGGCCCTGGGGGACTTGGCAGCCTGGAAGGGCCTTGAGGAGGGGGCTGCTCAGGGAGCGGTGGTGACAAAGGGGTGATTCTTCCTCCAGCCCCCCCGGGGGGTGGTGGCCTTGTGGCCTCGTTAGCCTGAGGCGGAGGCCCTGAGCTGGGCTCCTGCGGGAGGGGGAGCCTGCCCCGCTGGGGGACACGGGCTGGTGTGGAGGGTGCTGCAGGGCTGGGGTTCCGTGGACAGGCCGGCCTCGCAGGGCTCCTAATGATGGGGCAGCGGGGTGGAGAGGGCGCTGGGCCCGTGGCTGCCTTCCCTCCTCCTCCCTCTAGTCCTGGCTGCCCCCACGGTCCCCTCCTGGCCCAGGCCAAGACCCGACACCTGCTCTCACACTCGGGCTTGCCAGGCCTGGCCCCGCTCCCTGCAGACATGGCCGTGCCCGCCGCCACGCAGGCTCACACCCTCACGCACACGCACTCACCCGGGGCTCGGGCCCAGCACACACCACCCCTCAGCCTCCTACGATCACCCCCCCACCCCCCCGCACACGCTGCGGGGCTCCCCACCGCGCCTGCCCAGAGACCCAGCCGCACCCTGGCCCACCGCCGCTCCGGGCCAGCTCCCCACCGCGCCCCATGAATAATTCACGCCTTTCTCTCTGGGCATCAATTATTCAGCCCCTGAGATTCCCAACCCTCCGTGCTCTGGGGAAAGCCCCGCCCTGGCCCCGCCTTCCCTGTCGCCCCACCCCCTGCCCCCGGGGCTCCTACGTCCGACTAGGGGGGGCCCCCCCGGGCTGCGCGTCTTCTGGAATCAGGAGAGATCGCAGGCTCCGGGGTTCCCCGGGGTGCCCATGGGGGAGGCTGGGAGCTCCCCACGCCCGCAGCTCTCCTGCCAGACTGCTCACCACCCCTCCCCACGTGTCCCCACCGCAGGGGCGACCCGGACAAGTGTGACATCTGGGGCAACACGCCCCTGCACCTGGCGGCGTCCAACGGCCACCTGCACTGCCTGTCCTTCCTGGTGTCCTTCGGGGCCAACATCTGGTGCCTGGACAACGACTACCACACGCCGCTGGACATGGCCGCCATGAAGGGCCACATGGAGTGCGTGCGCTACCTGGACTCCATCGCGGCCAAGCAGAGCGGCCTCAACCCCAAGCTGGTGGGCAAGCTGAAGGACAAGGCGTTCCGCGAGGCGGAGCGGCGCATCCGCGAGTGCGCCAAGCTGCAGCGCAAGCACCACGAGCGCATGGAGCGGCGCTACCGGCGCGAGCTGGCCGAGCGCGCCGACACGCTCAGCTTCTCCAGCCTCACGTCCAGCACGCTGAGCCGCCGGCTGCAGCCCCTGGCGCTGGGCGGCCAGCTGCCCTACTCGCAGGCCACCCTGCACGGCACCGGCCGGGGCAAGGCCAAGATCCAGCGCAAGCTGGAGCGGCGCAAGCAGGGCGGCGAGGGCACCTTCAAGGTGTCGGAGGACGGCCGCAAGAGCGTGCGCTCGCTCTCGGGCCTGCAGCTGGGCAGCGACGTGATGTTCGTGCGCCAGGGCCCCTACGCCAACCCCAAGGAGTGGGGGCGCTCCCCGCTCCGGGACATGTTCCTCTCGGACGAGGACAGCGTCTCCCGTGCCACGCTGGCCAACGAGCCGGCCCACTCGGAGGTCAGCACCGACTCAGGCCACGACTCCCTGTTTACCCGCCCGGGCCTGGGCACCATGGTGTTCCGCAGGAACTACCTGAGCAGCGGGCTGCACGGGCTGGGCCGGGAGGACGCGGACGGCGGCGCGGGCCCGCCGCGGGGCCGGCTGCAGAGCTCCCCCAGCCTGGACGACGACAGCCTGGGCAGTGCCAACAGCCTGCAGGAGCGCAGCTGCGCCGAGGAGCTGCCCTGGGACGAGCTAGACTTGGGCCTGGACGAGGACCTGGAGCCCGAGACGAGCCCGCTGGAGACCTTCCTGGCCTCGCTGCACATGGAGGACTTTGCCTCCCTCCTGCGGCAGGAGAAGATCGACCTGGAGGCCCTGATGCTGTGCTCGGACCTGGACCTCCGCAGCATCAGTGTCCCGCTGGGCTCCCGCAAGAAGATCATGGGGGCCGTGCGGAGGCGGCGGCAGGCGCTGGAGCGCCCGCCGGCCCTGGAGGACACGGAGCTGTGAGTGCCTGTCCCCCTCCCCACTTCCGTCCCCCCCCCCCCCCCCCCCCGCAATGGGCGGGAGACAGGGGGAGGGGGAGGGGATCTGCTTATCCCGGAAGTGAGGGGTAATACGCATTTCATTCACCCCAGTCCCCACCCATCACTTGAGGCCCCACTTACTCCCTTTACCCCCAGTTCAGAAAAAGAGGTGCCAATTTGGTGAAGCCTTATCACCGCGAATGGACAGTGCACCTCGGTTTTGGGCAAATCAAAAAGTGGGGAAACGGGTGTCTTAGTCTGGAGGAGACATGGGGGTCACAGTCATCACAGCCCTCCCAAGTCCCAGCTCCTCCTTGCACTTGTTCTTTCATTTCATCCTCCCCAGCTCCCCAGCGCAGGGCTGGATCACCCCCATTTTCTAGTGAGCAAGTGGGGGCTCCGCGGGTTTCAGTGGCTCACCCCGAGGACATGCTGCTGCCGGGCAGAGCTGGGCTGGCTCCCTGTCTGTGACTAAAGCCTGGGGACAGGCGGCGTGGTCACTTGCCTTCAGGAAACCTCAGGGCCGGAGCTCAAAGCTGCTGACACACCAGCTGAGCCGGGGGCCCGTCTTTGCCCCAACACCCCACCCCCACCCCCCGGCAAACCACAAGCCCTGTTGGTATCTCTGGCCTTTACCTTACGTGTGTGTGGGCAGGGGTGGATGTGGGGAGGCAGCCTGCTTTAGAGTTGGGGTGTGGGGTGGGCGCCCCAGGCAAGTGTTTCCATTCCTGCCCATCCGCCTGCCCCTCGGTAAGTTGTCAAGTTGTCCGAATGGCTGGTCTGGGTTTAACGTGTCTCTGAGGCTCTTCTCTGAGCCTGCTTCCGTCTCTTTCCCCACAGATAACGGCCTTCTCTCCAGACCAAAGTGAATTGCAAGTTGCCACAACCCACGGTGGAGCCACAGTCTCCACAGTTGCCAGCCCTGCAGCCCAGCCCCTCCCCAGGGGCAAGGCCTCGGAAGTAGAGGGCATGGCCCGGAGGCACCCGGGAGGGTCCTGGAGCCACCCATTGGAGTGGCCCTCAAGGGCATGTGGGCTTGCAGGAGGCCCGGGGACTACACAACGTGCCCACGAGAGCGGGTGCGAGTGGCTGTGTAGGGGGATGCAGCCTGTCCCAGGGGCCGCTGTCTCCCCATCCCTCCTCCGGGGATCCCGTTCAGGCTGGACACTTGCTCACGTCCTATTTCTGGGAAGAGGAGACTGTGGGCTGCCTCCCCTCACACTCCAGAGAAGAAGTCCGGGCTCGACTCTTCAGCCAAACGCCCTGACCTCAGTCCCCGCCCCGCCCCTAGCACAGCCAGCCCCCTCTCCTTCTCCCACCGGCCATGCCGGGGAGTTGGAGTGCCAGGCTGGAGTGTGTGTGTGTGTGTGTGTGTGTGTGTGTTGGGGGGGAGGGTGACTGGTGCCCTTCCCAGCTTACCCTGGGGCGGAGCCCAGCCTGACTCTGCCCTCCCTCCCCTGTCCTCCTCCACCTCCCCTCTCCTTGGCTGTGTAGCCTGGCCCCCCGGGGACCCCAGAGGGTCAGGGCAACAGACGCAAGGTGCTAGCGTAACCGGCTGCAGTATTATGGCCCCAGGCCCGAGGCAGGTGGAGGCTGGCATGGCAGGGAGGGCAATCTAAGCTGCTGATTGTCCCAGGGCTCTGCGTGCCTGTGTGGGGGCTGGTTGGTGGTGGGTAAGCGAGAGCTCACAGGAGGAAGGCCAGCCCCTTCAGGTCCTCAGACACGTGTTCTCAGAGCTCCCCAGTCACACCGAGGTCACATGTGGCAGTCGATCAGAGGCTCACACACATGTGTGAGCACGTGCACACCCCCATTCAATGGATCCCATCCCCGACCTTCAGCTTGGAAGCAGCTTCTGCTGGGAGCACTGCCACAGCCCAGCCCCCACTACTTCCCTGGCTGGGGCAGGGAAAGAGAACCCCCCAGAATGCCACGGGCCTCCCTTTGGGTGTGTGGGCCCTGTCCGGCCATGCCCAGAGCTGGGGGTGTGATGGAGGTGGTCGGTAGTGCCTGGTCCCACCCAGAGGGCTGGGCCGCCTGCCCCTGCCACCCTGAGCCCACCCCAGCCCTCCTCCCTGTTCTCGGCCTGAGCCTGGGGCCACCCAAGTGCCGACTAGATTCCCTCGGAGCCCCAGGCCCTGCCCTTTCTCCCCTGCGCCTGGCTGCGCGCTGCCTCGGCCCCTCCTGTTCTCCCGTGCGGGGCTGCAGGCTCTGTGACTCCCCCTGTGCACAGCTCCCCTCCGGCAGGTCCATTATACCTTTTGCAGAGTACGTTCTGCGTCACTGTCATGCCTGTGTCCTGTTCTTTAATCATGTGGGGGTGGGGGGTGGTGGGATGAAGAGGGCAAGGGGGTGGGGGAGGAGAGGGAGGGTCTCTTTGAGCCTTTGAGGACTTGGTCCTATTCCTCGGAGGGAGGTCTTGGGATGGGCGGCTGGGCACTTCTCCCTGGGCATCTCTGCGGGGCATCCCCTCCCCTGGGCCTTCCCTGCTCCCTGGGCCCAGAAATGGGAGCTGATGGAGAGGGTGGGCTCAGGACTGGGGTGAGACAGCCCCCAGCAGCCGAGTGAGGAGGCAGCCCAGGCGCCAGGCCTGTTCCCAGGGCCTGCAGCTGCTGAAGGGAGGGCCACACTTTCTCCCCTCTCACCCGGGTCTGCCTGGGCTTCTCCAGACACGGGCAGAAGCCGAATCCCAGCACACTGCCATCCACCACTGGGCCCCATCAGTCCAGAATCAAGGCCCCAGTCCCCTGACCCAGCCCCCCGGGAGGCCTCCCAGGCAGCTCTTGGGCAGCCCTGTTTGGAACCCTCCTTTCCTCCAGCTCCCCCTTCAGCTGCAGACAATGAGCTCTGTTTTCTCAGCCGAGTGTGGGAAAGGGCTCTGAAGTTTTGTTCGTTCCCTCAGGATGCTGGTCCAAGTGCTTTTGCCAAGGGGAGTTCAAGACAACACCCTCCCTCCAGCATCAATCAGAAAGATTCACGGGACCTCAGGGCTGGACGGTTGCCTAGCAACCATCTAGGGGGTTCTAGGCCACCCCCCCTCCGCTTTACAGATGAAAAAACCGAGGTTTACCAAGAGGAAGGTCCAGACTCAGACACAGGCCTCCTTTCCTCACCCTGCGTCTGTCAAGGGGGCCAACAAGACGTGAGATCCTGCCTCCCATGCTCAAAGGGGTTCGTCAGCCCAGCGACCCCTGCTGGCCAATCTGGTCACTGCACCTACCTCTGGAAAGACGGGCCTTTCCTGGCAGCGAAGCAGGTCCTCGGAAGGACATGGGGATGAAGATTCTCAATGACAGAGAGAGGATCAGAGGGTCAGCGTGGAGGCAGAGACTAACCGGAAGCAGTGGGGGCGGCGTCTCCAGGGGTCAGTGTGGCTGAGGGTGGAAGCCCGGGGTGAAGAGCTGGTGGCTCCAGAGGTCTGGGGGACACACAGAGTGAAGGGGAGAATTTTACACCAGACTCAACTTTCTCCACTCATTCCCCTAAAAATTGAGATCGAGTTAGGGAGATTCTTTCTGAAAGGTTAGGGCAGTGGTCGGCAAACTCATTAGTCAACAGAGCAGCAAACCGCAGCTCTCAAACTGCATGTGGCTCTCGTGAGCCGCAGTTTGCCGACCACTGGGTTAGGGTAACCAATGATGCTTAGTGTTGGGGATTAGACTCTGATGGTAATATGGACACTTCCCCTGGAAAATGCACATCAGACACACACACACACACACACACACACACTCAAGTGCACTTTCATTCACAACTTCAGGCGGTTCACGGAGCCCAAGAGGCCCAGGGCCAGGTTACGAGCCGTGCTTACCTGCTGTGGAGCATATGTAAGTGTGATCACCGATGGATGGAGATGAGGGTGGGGAATGAATCAGAGGCAGAAAAGGCCTCCGGGTATGTGGCTCGCGGCCTCATTTTTACAGACGAGGTTAACCGAGGCCAGAGGGCAAGGGACAGGCTGAAGGCCACAGAGCAGCCAAGTGGGCAAAGTAGTCCCGGGTTTCCCGATGCTTTCCACAGTGCCAGCTGCCTCCTGTGCCTCCTTAGCCAGTCCCGGACAGCGTGACCCTCCCGGTCTCCCAGCCCGCGCCTGCCTGCGTCACCTCCTCCGAGTAAGCCTGGGCTTATGGGAGGCAGCCAGCTCTGGGCAGCAAAACCATCCCCGCCCCTTTCTAGCTGTCTGGCCTGGGATAAGCCACCCCCTCTTGAGTCTGTCAAATAGGTATTATAATTTATTGTAATAACAGTGTTACTCCCATAGGTCATTAGGGGGGGTGAAATGATAATGGGGCAAAGCACTTAACGCACAGCAGTTAATAATGGTCATGCTTATTGGTGGCCTGAAACAGACCCCTGTTCCTGTGGTCCCAGCCCCACCCAGCTGGTGAGCCCTAGGCAGTCCCAGGGTGCAGTCTCTTGAGACGGAGCCCCTCCCCCACTAAACACATAGAGGCAACCTCATCTGACCAGCAGGGGGCGATGACAACCCAGCCTGACCTGGTGGACAGGGATCTGGAGATGAGGAGGGCTCTTGGGCATCCCTGTGCCCACGGCAGGGAGAGCTGACATGCTGGGTGGTCCCCAGACTCCCCTTTCAATGCTCCCCACACCATCTACACAGCGTGGTCATACCACACACACACACACACACACACACACACACACGGAAAACATGGGCAAGAAGGAGCGGGAAATAGGCAAAGCGAGCATGTGCAGGCACTTTTCTTGCTGGAATCAGAAACCACGTTTTACTATCATCTATCATTATCAATACCAAAGGGTATCAGATTTAAATTATATCAATATTCCACATAAAAATAATGATTACAATTGTACGAGAACTGTCATCAGTGATAACTGTATCTACCACCAGCACTTGCCCTGTGTGGTCCATTGGTATCCATTCTACAGAAATGACCTTTTCTGGCTGGTGTGGCTCAGTGGTTGAGCGACAGCCTATGAAGCAGGAGGTCAAGAGTCCATTCTCTGCCTGGGTTTTGGGCTCGATTCCCAGGAAGGGGCGTGCAGGAGGCAGCCGATCAATGATGTTCCTCTTTTACCGATTTTTTTTTAATCTCTCTATCCCTCTCCCTTCCTCGCCTTCTAGAAATAAATAAAAACATATTTAAAACAACAACAACAAAGGAAATGATCTTAATACTCTCCCCAGAGAACTGTTAAGGTAACTGGTATCGCCTTCATCCACTCCGAATCACCCTCTCAGGAAGTGACTTGCCTAGGGTCACACAGCAAGGACGGGGACCTGGGTGTGTCTGAGTCCCGAGCCTCGCTCTACACATGGACCTCGGCCTCCATCCTGTGTGAGGACCCCGGCTCTCCCTCCTGCCCTGGCACCAACCCCGCCAGGCCCAACACACACCCTTAAGGTGAACCCATATCGGAGTCACTGGCACACACCGGACTGCGGTGCCAACCGGACTCAGGGGGAGCAGCCAGGTGCCCCTTGGGGAGCCTCACCCGCCGGGGGGGGGGGTTCCAAACACTCCCAGCCTTGGCTGCTCAGGGACCTAACCTGCTAGGTATGTTGGAAAGGCAGCCTGGGCCTCCGTTTCCTCTCCTGTAAGGTGGGGACAGACGGACAGCCTGGGAGCCTCAGCGGGGTCCCCAGCAGCACTGGGCTGGCCCCCTCCCCCCACCCCCACTCCCTGACCTGCCTCCGGGCCCTCACCAACCTGGCGTGGTCCTTGCGGGATGGCTGGCAGCCTGGGAGAGCGAGCGGAGGCTGCAGGCAGCCGGGGCAGGCCAGGGGTCCGGTCCTCGGAGATGAGGCTGGGCACCCTGTCGATGTGGGCCCGCCCTGCTGGAGCCAGGGAGCTTGGGGTGCCAGTCCCACTCTCAGCTGACCAACATCTGAGCCAGAGGCCAGGCTGCTTCTCCCCCACTCCCTGCACCCCACCCCTGTGAATAATGCCGCTTGCCTCACAGAGCGGGGCCTCCCCGGGCTTTGATGCCTGGGGGTGGGGATGGGGTGGGGTGGGGAGGGTGGCGTGTTGGGTGGAAGACAAGACAGGGTTAAAGACCCAGCCACCCAGGCTCAGAGCACAGAAATGGTCGTTGCTGGGAGAGGTGTCCCCCTGCCTCCCAGGCCTCCCAGCTCTCAGGGCCCCCCTCCGAGCCCTGGGGTCAGGGCAGGGCTCCTTCCCACCCAACCCCAACCCCAACCACAACCCCAACCACAACAATAATTAACCCCGTGAACCCCAGCAAATAAAGATCTGAATCACAAAAAGGAGGCGTCATTGCTGCCCCAAGGTGGGGAACTCCGGAGGTCCCAGTATCCTGTGACACCCCAGTCCCCACACACTGCTAGGCCCGAGGGCACCCCGTCCACTGGGGCCTGGGGGAGGCCTCACCTGTCTTGGGTTTGGACCAGAGAGAAGATTAAGAATAAGAGAAATAGCCGGGACCGGTTTGGCTCAATGGATAGAGCGTTGGCTTGGGGACTGAAGGGTCCCGGGTTCGATTCCGGTCAAGGGTATGTACCTTGGTTGCGGGCATATCCCCAGTAGGGGGTGTGCAAGAGGCAGCTGATTGATGACTCTCTCTCATCGATGTTTCTAACTCTCTATCTCTCTCCCTTCCTCTCTGTATAAAATCAATAAAATATATTTAAAAAAAAAGAATAAGAGAAATAAAAAATAAAAATAGAAAACTGTACAAGTCTCTTCCCTGAATTTTCTAGTTTGTCCCAGGGGGAGGGGCTCAGTGCCAAGATAGGGAGGGGGAAAGGCACCACCCCTTGTCTGCTTTTATTTTTAAAACATATTTTATTATTTTTTTACAGAGAGAAAGGGAGAGAAATAGAGAGTTAGAAACACCCATGGGAGAGAAACATCGACCAGCTGCCTCCTGCACAACCCCCCTCAGGATGTGCCTGCAACCAAGGTACATGCCCTTACCCGGAATCGAACCCGAACCCGGGACCTTTCAGTCCGCAGGCCGATGCTCTATCCACTGAGCCAAACCGGTTTCGGCAATTAAAATACCGTATTTTCTGCTATATAAGATGACCCCTTAATTTTACAGTTAAAACACAGGTTTAGGCCTGTATTCGCTGTATAAGACTACCCCCCACTTCCGAGGCAACACCAGTTCTTTTTTTAATAGACCGCCTCTCTGACTCTGGCCAATCTGAGCAGGCTTTTTACTAGAACACAGTGTACATGTTCTGTACCCGAAGCTACACTGTGTTCCAGTAAAAAGCCTGCTCAGATTGGCCAGAGTCAGAGAGGCGGTCTATTAAAAAAAGAACTGGTGTTGCCTCGGAAGTGGGGGGTAGTCTTATACAGCGAATACAGGCCTAAACCTGTGTTTTAACTGTAAAATTAGGGGGTCGTCTTATACGCCCGGTCGTCTTATATGCCAGAAAATACGGTGTATATTTTTAAAAATCACCGGACTGGTGGGCCAACTCTCCAGGGGTCCCGTGTCCGCCAGGTGCTGCTAAGAAAGACACTCGGGCTGCGGGATAAAACCCCGCCACCGGAGCAGGTGCGGGGACGGGCGGTGTTTGAGGCCAGGCGGTCAGGGGCCCTGGAGGTGTCCGCGCGTCCCCCTGGCCGGTCCCCTCCGCTGGGGGCGGGGGTGGGGGTGGGGATCTCGCTCCGTCTCCTCCCCGCCCTCCCGCATCGATCCTCCCGGGGAAGTTCTGCGCCCGGTGCCCGGCGAGCAGCACAGGGGCGGGTGCCAGGCGCGTGACTCCGCCCCGCCCGCGCCGCCCGCGCCCTGCGCCTCCCGGGCCGCAGACGCCGCGTCCGCCCGGCGGCCGGTCCGGGGCATGGAGACGGCGGCGCGGGGGGCGCCCCGGGGCGGCGGGAGCGGCGGGGCCGAGGCGCTGCTGGGCGAGCTGGAGGCGCGCGTGCGGGCCGTGGTGCGCGCGAGCTCGTGGTGGGAGCGCCACGGCGTGGACTGCTCCATCCTGGCGCTCAGCCTGCTCGCCCTGCCGCCCGGTGAGGGAGCGGGACCCGGGACCGGGGACGGGCGGCCAGGGGCCCGGCGGCGCGGAGGGTGCGAGGGAGGGGATGAAGAGGGCTGGGTGGAGTTGGGGAGACGCTGCGTGCTGGGGACCCCGAATCTGACCGTCTGTTTGGGGTGTCCTGTCCTGTGTCCTCAGAGGACCTGGGCGCGGGGTGGGGAAGGTGGGGAGGGTGGGGGTGGGGGAGAGACCGGCATGAAGGGCAGAGGTGGGGCAGCTGAGAGCGGTGGGAGGCTGGAGGGGTGAGGACCGCAGTCCAGGGGAGGAAGTTCCGTGGGACCACCAGGGATGGGGTGAGGAGGGAGGGGGTTCCCTGGTCTGGACCCCCCAGGCCCAGCCGTTGCTGCTCTGGCTGGGGCGCCGGATCAAGGCTCCTGGAATCTCCTTGAGGAGTCACGGGGCTGTTTGTCCCCAAACCCTGATGAGAGAGCCACCCCCTCAGGCCGCAGGGGGGCCAGTGCTGGGCTCGCTTTGGTCTGGGCTTCCCCGGGTTTGGGCCCAGATCTCCAAAAGCTGAGGAAAACCTTGCTCTTTCTTCCCTCCCCTCTCCCCCGCTCCCCCCAGGGTTCCTGTGCCTGCGCTCCGAGCATGGCCTGGTCTTTGTCCTGGGCATCACCATCCTGGGGGTGTGCCACTACACGCTCACGGTCAAGGGCAGCCACCTGGCCACGCACGGTGCCCTCACCGAGTCCAGGCGCTGGAGCAAGATCTGGGCACACTTCTTCGTGGAGGTGAGCCTGGGAGAGGGCGAGGCAGCTGCTGGGCCAGGCGGGCATCCTCCTGGCTCGGTGCCAGTGTGTAGGTGTGTGCCCAGGGGGCGGGTGGCTGCAGCTGCTGGGAAGTGGGTCCCGGTGTGCAGCCTGCACCACGGTGTGTGTCTGTGGGTGCCCTGGAGGGGGGTGGTACTGTGGGGGAGAGGTGTGTGGGGGATGCACGGGCATCTATGGCAGTGGACTCGGCCTGGGTACCCCTGCTGCTCCGGGGGCACCCGCTCAGCTCTCGGCAGCACCAGCCCACGTGGTGACTCCTCCTCCTCCGGACACCTGGGCCTGGCAGGTCTTGGCTACAGCCTTGGGGCCTCCTGGTTTTGCAATCAGGGCTTAAAATGTGAGCCGGGGACGGAAGGGGGCGGGGAGGAGGTGCCGGGTGTCACAGTGTCCCAGCCCCGGAACACGTGTCCCTCTGATCCTGGTGACGCTGAGCCATCCTGACCAGGCCCCTCCCTGCTCCCCAAGTCTGCTCCAGCAAGGTCCCTCCTCTCTCCTGCCCCTGCGCCCCCTCTTCCTACCCCCTCCAGTCCCCCCGCTTCAGCCTTCTCACCAGGGAGGCAAAGGGCTCTGGCCAGGCTGCCCGTCTCTCTGGCCCGGGTTCAGGCCTCTCCGGTTCCTCTGCGGGACTTGTCCCCCCCTCGCCCGGACCGCCGCCTGGCAGCCGGACGGGAGACGGCGGAGGGCACGGCCTCGGGAGCTGCCCCTCCCGGTGCGTTCCCAGCCCCACTGGCCGCCTGACCTTGGGCACGTTATCAAGTCCAGCATCGAATGTTCGCTTCCTCCTCTAATGAACGGGTCTGGCCGCAGGGCCTCCCTCGAAGCCGGGTGGGGATTCCCCGGGACCTTCACCGCAGGCCGGGACCTGCTCTTCGGGGCTGGCTCGTGTCGGCTGTGCTTTCTGCCCTCCGGAGGGCACGGCGGCAGCGGGGAGGGTCAGCGGCTTTTGTTGTTTGTTTTGAACCGAAAGGTTGATGCATTTATGCAAATATCAGAAGACAGGTGTGTGTGTGTGTGTGTGTGTGTGTGTGTGTGTGTGTCGGGGGGCCGTTGGCTCTGGCTCTAGCCCACCAGCTGTCCTCTGTGTTTCACAAAGGACCAGCCTGCTGCCCAGGACCCCCCGGGACCCCTGCCTGTCCACTTCTCCCACGTCCTGCGGTCGCCCTTCTTGCTGGGTGCCCGGGTCTCCCATCCTTATAGGATAATCTAGTCCTCCCCTCCGCAGCCTGTTCTGTCAGCGGATGTCCCTGGCTTTCCCGGGGCACCCGTTTCGCCAGGTTCAGCTCAGGGGCTGCTGGCTCCAGAAGGGGGTGGGCAAGGACCTCACCCCTCTGACCCGCTCTCCCCGTGGGGAGGGCAGGTAGTGACACTCCAGGTGTTGTTGTTTCCCCACTAAAATGTCCCAACCATCCGCACCTCCCCACCCAGCCTCTCTCTGAAGACCCACTTCCGGTCTACAGGAGAAAGTTCCATCCTCCCTGCCCCCCTCTGACCCTCTCTCCAGCCCACGGATAACCTGCCTTCCCTGCAAGAGCGCCTGCCCCTCCCTGTCCCTCCCTGCCCCTCCCTGTCCTTCCCTGCCCCTCTCTGTCCCTCCCTGTCCTTCCCTGCCCCTCTCTGCCCCTCCCTGTCCTTCCCTGCCCCTCTCTGTCCCTCCCTGTCCTTCCCTGCCCCTCTCTGTCCCTCCCTGTCCTTCCCTGCCCCTCTCTGTCCCTCCCTGTCCTTCCCTGCCCCTCTCTGTCCCTCCCTGCCCCTCCCTGCCCCTCTCTGTCCCTCCCTGTCCTTCCCTGCCCCTCTCTGTCCCTCCCTGTCCTTCCCTGCCCCTCTCTGTCCCTCCCTGTCCTTCCCTGCCCCTCTCTGTCCCTCCCTGTCCTTCCCTGCCCCTCTCTGTCCCTCCCTGTCCTTCCCTGCCCCTCTCTGTCCCTCCCTGTCCTTCCCTGCCCCTCTCTGTCCCTGGTGATGCCACAGGGACTGCTGTGAAGGGCCACAGGGAGGTGGGGGGAGGTGGGGGGAGGCGGGGGATGGTGGGGGGAGGTGGGGGATTGTGGGGGGAGGTGGGGGGAGGCGGGGGATGGTGGGGGGAGGTGGGGGGAGGCGGGGGATGGTGGGGGGAGGTGGGGGAGGCGGGGGATGGTGGGGGATGGTGGGGGATGGTGGGGGGAGGTGGGGGATGGCGGGGGATGGTGGGGGGAGGTGGGGGATTGTGGGGGGAGGTGGGGGGAGGCGGGGAAGGTGGGGGAAGGTGGGCGGCGGGGCCATATTAAATCCTGAAGCTCAGCTAGGATTTAACTCCGGAAATGAGAGGGTCCTTAGACACTCCCCTCCTGTCCTGGTGGATGCTCCCCAGGGTGGAAGGGAGCAGGCTGGGCCAGGTGCTAAGCTCCACTGTTTCTCAACTTCCGGGGCGGCGAGTCCCAGCTGCTCCGGAGCCAGCACCGCCCAGCTCTGCCCCCAGGAGTCTCACCCACGGGAGGCCCCACCTTCACCCAAGGCCTTTGTGGTGGCGGAAACAGAGCCAGGAGCCACAGCCTGGTCATAATTCTCGAATGTTCTCTTCCCACGAGCTCAGTGTGGCCATCATCCTCAGGGCTGCGCAGCTGCTCTCTCCTCCTGTCCACGCCTGCTGCCCTCCGCTCCCATGTCCACCTCCGAGTGGCCCCGCCATGGCCCTCACCTGGAACCCTGGCCTTGACCCTGATTCCTCTCCTCCCCCAGCCTCACCTTTCCCCCAGATCCTGCCTCCGGGCCTGCCCTCCGCCCTCACCATCGCGCATCTCCGGACCAGCAGCCTCTGGCCAGCCACCCTCCCCATCCTGTCCCTCCCTTCCAGTCTCAGAGTGTGGCCTATTTGACACCCAACTTCGGTTGTGTCATAATTTTATAATGACGGTGTTTAATCCTGCAAAGCATTGTCTGTTTAAGAGATAAAATAAAAGGAAATATTAGGAGACACGTAAGGGATTGTGAGCCTCGCTTACCCCCTAGGGCAGCACAACCACTGAGCCACACTGGCCGGGCTTCCTTTTTTTAAAAAATTTATTTCCACCCCCTAACCCCTTCCTCTTTGGCCACCATCAATTTATTCTCTGTATTTTTTAGTCTGTTTTGCTCTGGTTGTTTTGTTGTTGTTTTAGATGCCACACATCAGTGGAGGCATGCGGTAGTTGTCTCTCTGACTGATATATCACTTGGCATGAAGCCCTCTAGGCCATCCACGCGGTTGCAAGTGGCGAGTTGTCAGCCACCGGCGGTGGCGGAGTCACAGCCCCCTGTACGCACACGCTGCTTCTCCTCTGCCCGCTCCTCTGCCGACGGCACTGGGGCTGCTTCCATGGCTGGGCTATTACAGACAACGCCGCAGTGAGCATCGGGGCGCATAGATTTTTTTCAAATTTGTGTTTCTGTTTTCTCCGGATAAACACCCAGAAGCCCAATTGCGGGCTCACATGGAGCTCTATGTGTAATGTTTGAAGGCACCTCCATCCTGCTTTCCGCCGTGTGGCTGCACCGGTCTGCACTCCCCCCACAGGGCCCAGGGTTCCCTCTCCTCCATGTCCTCGCCGCACCTGTTATCGGCTGGCTTATTGGTGATTCAGCTGGCATTTCTTTTTAAAAATATATATTTTACTGATTTTTTTTTTCCAGAGAGGAAGGGAGAGAAATAGAGAGTTAGAAACATCCACATTGATCAGCTGCCTCTTGCACACCCCATACTGGGAATGTGCCCGCAACCAAGGTACATGCCCTTGACCGGAACCGAACCCGGCACCTTTCAGTCTGCAGGCCGACGCTCTATCCACTGAGCCACACCGGTCAGGGCTCAGCTGGCACTTCTTGATGAGAGAGGCAATGCAGGAGGCCTGGCCCTGGGAGCGGAAGGGCACAGAAGGCGCAGTTACAATCAGTTGCCTCTCCTGCCTGGGACACAACCGTGAGCCTCAGAGCCCTGGCTGAGCCCCCGGTGCCCGCCGCCAGGCTCCTGCCACTGACCTGACCCAGCCAGGAGCCCAATGGGCGCGCGTGCTCTTGAGCAGGCGGATCCTCGGAGACCAGCAGGCCTGGGAGAGATGTCTCTTTAAGCCACGATACCCTCCCACCTCTCAGGTTCTGTCCCTGTTGCGAGGTTACAAGAACGTGCCCTGGGGGTTGCACCACCTGAGAGCAGCGCAGCCGGCCTGCCTCCCGGGGCTCCGCAGCAAGGCTGCCACGGAACTGGCATCGCGCTCTCCCCCCGCTCTGCCCCCCGCAACCTCCTTGCCCTCTGCCTTCCGCGGACAATGCCACATCTCCCGCGGCTGCTGGAACACTGCATGGAGCCATCACTACCCCTGCTCCTCAGCCTCCTTTATTTATTTATTACTTTTCTTATTTTTTTTTAACACTATTCTTTTTTTATTTTATTTTAATTAATTTATTTATTTTAATATATTTTATTGATTTTACACAGAGAGGAAGGGAGAGAGATTGAGAGCTAGAAACGTCGATGGGAGAGAAACATCGACCAGCTGCCTCCTGCACACCCCCCACCAGGGATGTGCCCGCAACCAAGGTACATGCCCTTGACCTGAATGGAACCTGGGACCTTTCAGTCCCTAAGCTGACGCTCTATCCATTGAGCCAAACCGGTTTTGGCATATGTTTTATTTATTTTAAAAAATATTTCTTATTTAAAATACGTGATTTTTTATTGATTTTAGAGAGGAAGGGAGAGAGAGAAACGTTAATGATGAGACAGAACCACTGATTGGCTGCCTCCTGCCCGCCCCCTACTGGGGATTGAGCGCACAACGTGGAATGGAACTGAGACCTCCTGGTTCATAGATGGATGCTCAACCACTGAGCCATGCTGGCCGGGTCTCTGTGTCCTTTATTTTTTAATTTTTAAAAATATTTTAAAATATATATTTTATTGATTTTTTACAGAGAGAAAGGGAGAGGGAGAGAGTTAGAAACATTGATGAGAGAGAAACATCAATCAGCTGCCTCCTGCATATTGTCTACAGGGGATGTGCCTGCAACCAAGGTACCTGCCCCTGAGCAGAATCGAACTTGGGACCCTTGAGTCCACAGGCCCAGGCTCTATCCACTGAGCCACACCGATTAGGGCCGCAGTGTCCTTTAGAAGGAGCGTCTGGCTCCATTTCGCCCCGGCACAGTGCGGGGACAGTGTCCTTCGCTGTCTTCCGTCTCCTCCTGGCTTTGCCTGGACCCAGAGCCGGGGCCCTGCTATCTGGAGTGAGCGGCACGTCTCAGGGGTCGTATGGCTTATCTGGGCTGAAAGCTGGGTTCAAATCCCACCTCTGCTGCCCACATCGAGAGTGAGTTGGCTGGTCACATGGCCTCTGTCTGTCTGTTTCCGCTTCTGTTGACAGTGGGTGATCACAGCCCTGACCCCGGGCTGGGGATTAGCCAGGCGCGCAGAGTGCAGAACGCTGTGTGCTTATCCAAGGCCTCCCGCTGCCTGGAGCTCAGTGACTGGCTTCAGGGAACCCTTCCCTCCCCCACAAACAGGCAGGCCGCGTCTTCAGCACAGTTAGCAGCACCTCGTGGCCTCGATAAGACGCAGGGAGAGGCTGCCGTCTGCATGCTCACCGGCAGCCTCCGTGTGAGAAGCACTTAGCCCCTCCCTGCACCCAGAATGGCCGCTCTGGGCGTCAGAGAGCGGCTGCCCAGGACTGGCTGTGGAGAACCCCACAAATGCCACAGAGGCGCCACCCCGGGGAGCAGTGCGCCCGGCACCCTCACCCCAGGTGCCACCCGCGTGGACAGCCTAGGACACGGCCTCCCTTCACCCCTGACTGTGCCCACACCGCCCCTCCCTGCACGGGCTCAGGGCACAGAGGAGAGCTCTGAAGGCACAGATCTTTCCGAGATAAACACACACCGCAGAACGGCAGCCGGATGCCAGGAGCGGGCCCTGCCCAGGCCTCCCAGGCTGGCAGGCTGTCCGGGTGGTCAGGGGGCAGCGTGGCAATCGGGGGTGGCCTGGCGCCCCTCACACGCTGCAGCGCCACCCCCGGCGGGCACGGTTCCTCGGACCGGCTGCCCCTCTGCGCTCAGGACACCCGAGAGCTGATGGTCAAGGCCGATTAGCTGGGCTGAGAGCGAGGCAGGGAGGCCCGGAGGGTGGGGCGCTTTTGAGGCCCTCAAGGCCCTGCTGGGCTGGGCTGGGCCGGACCTGGGCCTCTCTGGCTCCCCCTCCAGGTGTGCACGGCCTTCCCCGCCGAGGACGCGCTGCATGGCCACGTCAAGATGCACCACGGCTACACCAACGTGCTGGGCCTGGGCGACTCCAGCACCTGGCGGCTGCCCTGCCTCAACCGCTACGTCTACATGTTCCTGGCGCCTCTCCTGATCCCCGTCCTCACGCCGCTGGTGGCTGTGGGTGAGTGTGCGGGCCTGGGGCCCCGTGGCCTGTGGGGACCTGGTCTTCCCTTTTCCTCCCCCCTCCTCGCTCGCGGAGGCTGCTCTGGAGGGGGGGAGGAGCCCTGGGCTGAGACTGGACAGGAACGCTCTGGGGCAGCCAGGCTGGGTGGAAAGAGCTCAGACCGGGCCAAGCCTGGCTGAGCTGAGTACGGGCTGGCGACCTCAGGCAGGTAACCCAACCTCTCTGAGCCTCGGTTCTTCCCTGCCCCGCATTATTACCTCATGAGGTCACAGATGTTAAAACGCTTTGAAAATGCCTCGCACTGTATTGCACGTTGGACTTTTTATTTTTATAAAAGAAACTTTTAAAAGAGTGTTCATTGATTTCAGAGAAGAAGATTGATTTCAGAGAGAGAGAGAGAAACATCAATAATGAGAGAATCATTGTCATCTGCCTCCCAGTGAGCCTGCAACCCAGGCCTGTGCTCTGACCGGGAATCGAACCGTGACCTCCTAGTTCACAGGTCAATGCTCAGCCACTGAGCCAAGCTGGCCGGACGCATGTTAGAATTTTTTTAAAAAATAGATATTTTATTGATTTTTTACAGCGAGGAAGGGAGAAGGATAGAGAGTTAGAAACATCTATCAGCTGCACACTCCCCACTGGGGATGTGCCCGAAATCAAGATACATGCCCTTGACTGGAATCGAACCTGGGGCCATTCCGTCTGCAGGCCAACGCTCTATCCACCGCGCCAAACCGGTCAGGGCAGCATGTCAGGATTTTTAATATCACGGGAGCAAATCCTCTGGTGGAAGGACAGGGGCTGGGGGCGGCAGACCTGGATTCAAGCCCCAGGCCGCCATGAGTGACCCGGCCAAGTTGCCTAATGCCCCATTTCCTCACCCGCACCCTGGGGGAGTGTGCTTTCTGGGCTGAGGGCGATGACCCAGGTGGCCCTGTTAGCACCACGGGGCCAGCAGGGAGCCGGCTGGGAGGCGCCGTGCCCACCGCTGTGTTCTTGCCCCTCAGAGCGGCTGAGGAGGGCGAGGCCCGGGGCGGCGCTGCGGGCGCTGGGCCTGATCGCCCTGGGCCTGTGTTCCCACTACTGGCTGCTCCGGCACCTGTCCGGCTTCCGGAGCCCGGCCTCGGCGCTGGCCTGCATGCTCTGCACCAGGTCCCTGCTGGCCCACCCGTACCTGCACATCAACGTCTTCCAGGTGAGGCCTCCCACCGGCCGCTGGGGCCCCGGGGTGCCCAGGCCACGCCCCTCACTGGGGACCAGGGGGTGCCCAGGCCACACCCCTCACTGGGACCGGGGGTTCCCAGGCCTTGCTTCTCACTGGGACCACAGGGTGCCCAGGCCACACCCCTCACTGGGACCAGGGGTGCCCAGGCCACGCCCCCCACTGGGGACCAGGGGGTACCCAGACCATTCCCCTCACTGGGGACCAGGGGGTGCCCAGGCCACACCCCTCACTGGGACCCCAGGGGTTCCCAGGCCTCACCTCTCACTGGGGACCAGGGGTACCCAAGCCACACCTCTCACTGGAGGAGAGGGGCCCAGAGATGGCGGAGACTGGGCTCGGGGCTCAGCCTCTTCACACTGATGGGAGTGAGGGGGGCGAAGGGCCCGCTGGTCCCCGGTGCCGGGTGAGGACTGGGGCGGGTGGGGGGGCAGGAATGGCTCAGGCCGTGCCCACGCCTCTGTCACAGCACATCGGGCTGCCCATGTTCTCGCGGGACCAGAAGCCCCGCCGGCTCCACATGATGAGCCTGGGGGTGCTGAACCTGCCGCGGCTGCCGGTGCTGGACTGGGCGTTCGGCCACTCCATCGTCAGCTGCCACGTGGAGCACCACCTGTTCCCCAAGCTCTCCGACAACATGTGCCTCAAGGTAGGGGGGTGCCGGAGGCCGGGAACCTCAGCAGCGCCTGAGCCCGCGTCCCCCCACCGACTGGTCAGAGGCCCCAGGGGGCGGTTCCGGTCAGAGACACGTGGGTTTCTTTTTTATATAATTTTTATTGATTTCAGAAAGGGAGGGAGAGGAAGAGAGAGATAGAAACACCAATGATGAGAGGGAATCATTGACTGGCTGCCTCCTGCACGCCCCCCTCCCTGCTGGGGACCTAACCCGCAACCCGGGCATGTGCCCTTGACCGGAATCGAACCCAGGACCCTTGCGTCCACAGGCTGATGCTCTACCCAGTGAGCTAAACTGGCTAGGGCGGGTTTCTCATTAGCAGTGGCCTCAGCAAGCTCCTGGGCATCTCTGAGCCTCAGCTTCCTCCTCTGACCGGGGCAGGGAGGAGCGCGCAGTGCTGACATCCACAGGCCTTGTGCACGAGGTGGAGAAATGGCTCTGAGAGGCTGGGCACACAGCAGGTGCTGCTAAGAGGAGCTGTGGGTTGTGCCCTCTGTGCCAGGAGGACTGTCCCTGGTTGGGAGCCCTGGTGTGTGTGGGGGGGGTGCTGCGGAGAAGCCCGCCCCCCTGTCCCTTGCCTGCTGGGAGGGGAGGCAGGAACTCCCCTGCTCCCCGGAGCCTGTGGAACTGGGCAGACAGGGTCAGCGCCGGGCCGCCCGCAGGCAGTCCCAGGCCGCTCAGCGCCTCCTCCCGCCCGCCTGCCTCCCGCAGGTGAAGCCCGTGGTGTCCCGGTTCCTCCGGGAGAAGCAGCTGCCTTACAACGAAGACACCTACCTCGCCCGCTTCCGGCTGTTTCTCAGCCGCTACGAGGAGCTGCTGGTGCGCGCCCCTCCCATCACCGAGCTGGCCGGGCTGCAGTGAGGGGTGCCCGGTCCCCCTGCTCCCTGCCCGGCCCAGTCCCAATCTTTTTCTGCTTGTCACTCCGGCCAGAGGGCGCGGTCCCTCCCCAGGGGGTGTGGCTGGGCTGCTGGTGGGGACTTGCAGCTGGTGTGTCTCGGCTTTGCGGGGTGCAGGGAGGAAAGGACTAAAAGTGGGCTTTCCGGGCAACTTCATCTCAGGTCTACACAGCTGGGTCCTCCCGACGTGGCCTGGGCCTTGGTGGGGCTGAGGGAGGGTGACCGGGCGAGGAGAGGCCTGTGCAGGGGGCAGGCGAGGAGGGGCATCGAGAGAGCGGGGCCAGCCCTCAGCTGGGGTCTGCCTGGCCCTGGGAGCGTCCTGTACGCAGCCGGGCACTGTGGCCCCCGAGCCCGGAGCCTCCTGTCCTCTGCGGAGCCCTCTCGCAGGGACCACGGGGAGGGGACTTGGGCAGGACCTTCCCGGCTTCCCAGCTGGAGGCGCCATGCCCGACACGGGCTCAGCAGCTCCCGGGAGCCGCAGCCACAGGAGCATCAGGGAGATCAAAGCGTTTGTGCTTTATAAATAAAGAGGACATTCCGGGTTCCGGAAGTAAGGGGAGAAAGGGTATAAATAGCTTTGGGCATGATCTTGGCTAGCTCCGGAGGAAGTCTGCCTTGTTCCATGGCATTGAGGAGAGGACCTGGAAGAATTATGAGAGGGGGTGGGGGGTAATAGGCAGGGGTGATGGCACAGGGTCTGGGGGGCAGGCACTTTAGAGGAAAGGAAGGAGGGGGAGGAGGTGGGGTGCCCACGTAAGAGCTGGCAGCCCAGGAGCCAGCCTGCGTGGGCAGCCCTGAGAGAGGGCTGGGGCTGGCCTGGCGGGGCTGGAAGAGCAGGTGCGGGAAGGGCCCCGCTGGAGGCCGGGAGGAACAGAGAGGGGCGGAGCAGCCGGGTTCACCAGGGCCTCTCCCCGCCCTCTGAGGCCCTCGGCCGGGAAGGCTTTGTTGACGGGCCCGTGGGTGCATCGCAGGGTGCTCCGCAGCCTCCCTCGCTACGTGCCAGGAGTCCGAGTGGTGACAATCAGAATGTCTGAAGACACTGGTGAAAACCACCCCCGGCCGACAGCAGGAATCAAGATCTGAGTGCAGAACCGCCTTAGTTTCCAGGGAGGGCCTCGGGTGGGGGAAAGGCACACGGACCCTGCTAAGCTGAGTCAGCCAGCGGGGCTGGGCGGAGGGTGAGAGGCAGGTGGAAGGCGTTCTCTGCGCCTGGTCCTGTGGGAGAACCACAGGTGTGGCCTGAGGTGGCTCTGCGGGGGGCTGCCATCCGCCCGCCCCCCCCCCCACCCCCCCCCCCCCCCCCCCCCCCCACACTCCTCTCCGCCTGCCTGTCGCACCTGCTCCTGCAGCTACAACTCTCACCGCCTGCAACAGCCCCTTCCATCGCTCCTTCGGAGCCTGGGGCGGGGGTGGCTTCCAGCGCTGAGTAGCCTAGGGTGCTTCACTGGCCCCTGAGTCCTGCTCACACCTCTGCACAAGGTTCCTTCAGCGAAGCCTCTGCCAGTGGGCACTGCCAAGCGCGCCATCTGTTTCCGGCCGGGAGCCTGGCGGGCCCGCAGAGCTTGGGCTCCAAGCAGCCCTCGTGGAGGGAGGCGGGCTTGGCAGCCTCCCCAGCCGCCGTGTCCATGCCTTTCCCCGCTGTCCTTTGAAAGGCTCAGTAGCCAGCAGCGGCCCTCAGGCCCAGCAGTCCGACTCATCCACCTGCCAAATCCCCGCGCGGAAAATGCAGCGTCAGAGGAGGCCCCGATGCCGGTCCTGGCTAATGATTAAAGCCATCCTAATACATCACCGATGACTCAGGTTATTGATCTGGGCCTGAGTGGGGCCTGGGCAGCAGCGGGAGGCCCCGGAGCAGGCTTGGCTGTACCACAGGCGCCAGAGAACAAGCCACTCGCTCGTTCTGAGACCCGACGTTCTGTGGACCTCAGAGAAGGTGGACTGGGATGCCTGGGGCTCGCCAGGGGAGGGGCGGCGACAGGAGGGAAGGGAGCCCTTCCTGAGCTTTGCGGGGGCCTAAGCCCTAGTTTACACAGGCCTGTCGGAGGAGGTAATGTTGATAATATTGATGAGGATGAGGATAGTTGACATCTATTCAAAACATAAGGCACTTTTTTTTTGTAAGAAACATTTATTTATTGGTAAATCACAGAGGCAGGAAAAGTAATTCCTAGAAGACAGGGGCTTAAGAAATGAGGTGAGGAGGTAAAGGAAGGGCCCTTGGAGCTTGGGAGTGGGAAGCAAATGGTAATGGGCCTGGGGGCAGCGGCAGTGGAGGGGGGAGGCTCCGAGGAGGGAGAGGCACTGAGTCCTCCATCCTAAGGGTTTTAAGGGCGGAGATTTTAGGGGAGGCTCAGGGGTGAATCCTAATAGAATATTCGGCAGCTTTCCAGGTGTGTTCACTCAGGACTGTGGTCTGCACTGATTGGGCGGCGGGCATTGGGGCCAAGGTCATTATTCATTGCAGCTGGGCCTGAGGCCAGCCATGGCTGGTTTTGCTGTCTCTCTGGGCCGGGAGCTGACGTACAACTGAGGCCTAGCTACTATCTTAAGGCACATTTTTACCTGTCTCGTTTAAGTTTAATCTTTACAAGCACTTGATTCTGTTTTTCCTAACGGGGCATGTTGTGAGGATCAGTCTTGGAGGGATTACATTTCTCAGCATCATGTGGCTGGTAAATGGTGGAGAAGGATTCGAACCTAGTGTCCATCTCCAGCCTCCCCGCTCTTACCCACCAAACACAGCGCCTCTGGGAGGGAGCCTTAGAGAGCTTTCAGTATCTCTGATCCTTCCCTTCCTCCCATGGAAAGAAGAATAAATGATTTGATCATTAAGACAAACTCTTGAACTGCGAAATGCGACAACAAAATAGATCACAAACGAAAGAAATGGAGGACAAAAAGCGTCTGGATATAGAGTTCAAATCTACGCTTATAAGTTTTTTCAAGAATTTCTTAGAAAAGATGGATAAGGGCTACGAGGATATGAAAAGAGATCAACTAGAATTAATAAGGAGTCAACAAGAAATGATAAGGGATCAACAAGAAATAAAGAATACATTGTCTGAAATAAAAAATATTTTACTGAGTCCTAAAAACAGAAGGGAAGATCGCAAGAATCAAGTCAAAGATTTGGAACATAAAGAGCCAGAAGACACTCCTCCACGGAAGCTAGAAGGCAAGAGAATCCAGAAAATTGAAGATAATGTAAGAAACCTCTGGGACAACTTCAAGCGAACCAACATCAGAATTATGGGGGTCCCAGAAGATGAGAGAGAGCAAGATATCGAAAACATACTGAAAGAAATAGTGACAGAAAACTTCCCCTACCTGGTGAAAGAATTAGACTTTCAAGTCCAGGAAGCGCACAGAACTCCAAACAAAAGGAATCCAAAGAGGACCACACCGAGACACATCATTATTAAAATTCCAAGAGCAAAAGACAAAGAGAGAATATTAAAAGAAGCAAGAGCAAAGAAGGTAGTAACCTACAAAGGAGCACCTATACGATTGTCAGCTGACTTCTCAACAGAAACCATGCAGGCCAGAAGGGAATGGCAAGAAATATTCAAGGTGATGAATAGCAAGAACCTACAGCCAAAAATAATCTACCCAGCAAAGCTATCACTCAGAATCGAAGGCCAGATAAAGAGCTTCACTAATAAAAAAAAGCTAAAGGAGTGCATCACCACCAAACCAGAATTATATGAATTGCTGAAGGGGGTTCTTTCAGAAGAGAAAGTAAACAAAGATAAAAATTATGAACAACAAATACATAACTATCAACAAGTGAATCTAAAAACCAAGGAAATTAAAAAAATCTGATGAACAATATTAACTGTTGAATATAATAGAATCAGAGGTATGGAAGGGGAGTGAACTGACGATTCTTGGGGTAAAGGGGAGAGGGGGCGTGGGAAGAGACTGAACATAAACTGTGCACCTATGGATGAGGACAATGGGGAGAGGGGAAAGGGCAGAGGGTGGGATGGGAACCTGGTGGAGGAGAGCAATGGTGGGTGGGGGGAAAGGAACATTTGTAATAATATGAACAATAAAAACTTATTAAAAAAAAAAAAAAAAAAAAAAAAAAAAAAAAGACAAACTCTTACCCTAGCAGGTTTGGCTCAGTGGATAAAGCATCGGCCCGCAGACCAAAGGGTCACAGGTTCAATTTCAGTCAAGGGCACTGATCCAGCCCTGGTCCAGGCATATGCAGGAGGCAACCAATTGATGTGACTCTCACATCGATGTTTCTCTCTGTCTCTCCCCCCTCCCTTCCAGTCTCTCTAAAAATCAATGAAAAACATCCTCAGGTGAGGAATGATAATAATAATAATAATAATAATAATAATAATAATAATAATAAAGCCAAACTCTTTATGAACATCTTTTATATGCCAGACACTGTGCACAGCTCTGGGGATATAAGAGTGAATGAGATTGGGCTCCAATCTTCAGGAGTTTACAGTCCAGTGCGGGAGTTAACAAACTTTTTGGAAAGGACCAGATAGTAAATATTTTGGGCTTTGTGGACCATGTGGTCCCTGTCACAAATACTCAAAAAATTTTGTGCCATTAAAGTGTGAAACAGCTGGAACCGGTTTGGCTCAGTGGATAGACCGTTGGCCTGTGGACTGAAAGGTCTCGGGTTCGATTCCGGTCAAGGGCATGTACCTTGGTTGCGGGTACATCCCCAGTAGGGGGTGTGCAAGAGGCAGCTGATCGATGACTCTCGCATCGATGTTTCTAACTCTCTATCCCTCTCTCTTCCTCTCTATGAAAAACCAATAAAAATATATTTTAAAGTGTGGAACAGCTATAGACATATGGAAAGAATGAGCATGAGTGTGTTCTAATAAAAAATTTTGAACTTGCGTAATTTTCATGTCACAAAACATTACTCTTTATTTTTTAAATATATTTTATATTTATATGACTCTGGGGGTGCTTGCCAAGTTCTACACTTGATCTGGTGGTGGTTACATGATAACATCTTGTGATAACTCATCCAACAGCACAGTTCTGATTCATATACTTTCCTGCTTGTTATACTTCAGTTAAGAATAATAAGACGCCGGGACCGGTTTGGCTCAATGGATAGAGCGTCGGCTTGGGGACTGAAGGGTCCTGGGTTCGATTCCGGTCAAGGGCATGTACCTTGGTTGCGGGCACGTCCCCAGTAGGGGGTGTGCAAGAGGCAGCTGATCGATGACTCTCTCTCATTGATGTTTCTGACTCTCTATCTCTCTCCCTTCCTCTCTGTATAAAATCAATAAAATATACTTAACAGAAAAAAAAAAGAATAATAAGACAACATAATAAGTAATAATGGGGTGGAGTGTTAGAAGACAAGAAGGGGCCCTACACCACCTTGGGGAAAAGGAAGCTGAAGCTGGTATTAGGCTTGCTGGGTCAGATGGGACCACAGATCCTGTCATTAAAAATATACTTTGCTCACTGTGTATGTGTGTGTGTGTCTGTCTGTCTACATTAATTTTGCTCTTTTAAAACGTTACATTAAGTAATTATTAATGTTGGTTTTTTGTACTCTCTTAAATTCTGCACTGGAGGTCAGTGCCTCCCTCACCGCACTATTCCAGCCCTGGGACAGGGTCAAGATCTTTGTCCACAGCACCTGGGCAAATCACTCCTTCCATTTCCTCACCTATGTAATAGGAAGGGACGAGGCAGGACAAAATCTGTGTGGATGAAAAAGGGGTCCTACAGAGTGATTTGATCATAAATTCCTAAATGGGCAGTCTTGGTGGGCAGTCATGCCCCAGGCCTATAGCTTCTTCAGTAAAAGGTTTTGAAGCCAGCCCTGTCCATTGTTTTTGTGCATATAGGTTAACACGTTTCTGAAATACCATAAGTAATACCTCTCGAAGCTGTAAGCACCCTTTAGAGAGCACATAATCTAGTTAACTATCCTGTAGTCCAAACCCTACCTTGCCTTCTCTCACCTTCATAGAATCTTATTAATTTCAAATGCATAAAAGAAACTGCAGCCGAAACCGGTTTGGCTCAATGGATAGAGCGTCGGCTTGGGGATTGAAGGGTCCCCAGTACCTTGGTTGCGGGCATATCCCCAGTAGGGGGTGTGCAAGAGGCAGCTGATCGATGACTCTCTCTCATCGATGTTTCTAACTATCTCTCTCCTTTCCTCTCTGTAAAAAATCAATAAAATACATTTTTTTAAAAAAACCCTGCAAAACTTACTCTCAGGAGCATCTGAGATCTTGCTTCCTGACAATTATCATCCGTTTTGGCTCAAACACATTTTTATAAAAATTCTCTACAGGTTTAGACGGTTCTTATGTGGGCATCTAGGCGGGGTCACACCTGATAGCCCCCTGATAAGTGAAAAGGGCCTCCAAGGGCCAGGCGGAGCCCCTTTTAAAGGGGCTTCCGGGTTTGCTTGAGCTCACTGGTGATTGGCTAGCAGGAAACCGGCCAGGCAGGAAGCACGTATCAAAAGGGAAAGGCGCTTGCGTCATCAGCCAGCGACGAGAGGCTAAGTAAACTCCTCTCTAATTGGTTCCCTTCTTCAATAGGGATTGAAACAGCGATGGGGATTTGTTCCTTTTTAACTCCGGACTTCAGATAACGGGAGAGAGTGTGAACATTGAGAAGCAATTTATTAAGTCACGCAGGGACCGGAAGTCTTGGGGGCGGGCCTTCAGGAGATGGGGGTGGATCCAAGGGCGGGCTTCTCCTCTGGGGGCGGGATTCTTTCCGGCATGGCGGTGGAGCAGCGACGCTGTGCTCTCCCAGAGCGTGGGGGGCGGGGTTTGGGGCGGGGCGGCACCTGTGGGCGGGGCCAGGGCGGGGCCAGGGCGGAGCCCGCGCCAGGCTCGGAGCGGGGCGGTCATCGGCATCAGTTCCGCAGGCTGAGTGCAAGCCCCAGCCATGGCTCCCCGCTGCTGGCGCTGGTGGCACTGGTCGGCATGGCCTCGGACCCGGCCGCCTCCCGCCGGGAGCACTCCGAGTAGGAGCTGGGCACCCCTGGGACTTGATGGGGACGCGGGGAGGAAGGCCTGCGAGCGCCAAGTGGAGGGGTTGGAGCCCGACTGGGGCAGAGCAGGAGAGGGACGAGAGAGGAGACTGGAGGCGTCCGCTCGCAGGGACAAGATGGGGTGGAGTATGGGGCACATGAGAGCCTGTGGGCTGAGGTGCCTAGGGTGAGATGAGGGTCCACATAGGTGAAAGGGAGAGACCATGACTCCACAGGTGGGAGAAGGGGTGAAGGGGGGTGATAGGGAGGTCTGTGGGGCAGGAGAGAAGTCTGAGGCGGAACAGGGTTGGATAGGAGTGAGGCGGTCTGTTGGGGAGTGCGGGTTCTGTGGAGGGAAGGGGGAGAGAGATCATTGGAGCCCTGTGGGAAGATCCACCGGGAGAGATTGGTGATACGGGGTCCGTTGGAAGGATGTAATATTCTAGCTGGGTGGGTGGGTAAGAAACATGGAGTTCTGTGCAGCGCAACTTCAGGGTGGGTGGAGGGGTTGTTGAGTAGGTCATCCTCTGCGACATAGTAAGTTCATGCGTGAAGTGTGGGGTTCTGAATGCAGACACGGCCTTTGAGGCCCAGATGAACTAAGGAACCCCACAGACAGCAGAGCTCTGGCGGAAAGGAGGGACGCCCCCCTTGTGTTTAGCATTGCAGTTGGTTTGGGAGTGGGAGGGCGTGCTGGCCTGACCTCCCCTCCCCGTCCCAGGCTCCCGCCGGCTGCTCTCCGCGCAGGAGCAGCCCCCCCAGATCTGTGTGGTGGGCAGTGGCCCGGCTGGCTTCTACACTGCCCAGCACCTGCTGAAGGTAAGCCACACCCCGGCCCCCTCACCCATCCACTGCTGCTCCAATCTCAGGGGCAAGCCCTCCCCTCTGGGATCCCTGATGGGGAAGAGTCCCCCCCCCCCCCCCACTCATCTAGACAGGACACTTTCTACAAACTTTGTCACCTACATCCGGGGCTCCGCCTCTAGTCCTCAGCCATGAGAGAAGTGCTTGTGCCTCGTGATGGTGGTCAGTGGTCAGTGGCAGGTGGTGGGCCATGCCTGCTGGGCCCAGCCCTCCAGGGAGCTGGTGCAGAGCTGCGGGAGGACCTGATCCTGCCCCTCATCTTCCCTCTCTTCTGTCTCCACTCTGCCCCCAGTGTCCTGCATCTCGAGGCGCTGCCCCCTCTTCTCGAGGTCTTCTGGAACTTTATCCACTTCCTGTGCCCTCTTCACCCTTGGCCCCAGTCTCCCCATGCTGTTCTCTCAGCCTGCTCTGCACCCCCCTCCCCTCCCCCAAAGCCTAAGGTCTCAAGGCTCACAGTATGGCCTTGGTGGGCAGGGCCCCAAGGTTCCTCATTACCCTTGAGACTTTGCCAGACCTTGGACCGTGGTGGGAGGGAGGGAGGGAGGGGGAGCCATGGTGAGGCCTGAGGGAGGTGGGCCCAGATCCTGGGCCTCGGAAGCCGCCAGCCAGGCTTGGACGCAGACTGCTTATCTTGGTGCTGCCCACCCCTCTCCCTCCACACAGTCCCGTGTTAAAATGCACATTCCTGGGCCTCGCTCAGGTCTAATCAAACTGTCTGGAGCCCAGGAGTCAATGGTTTTAAACATCACCACCCTCCTCCCTGGGCAATCTGGTGCCCGCTGCCATGGTGGTTCCTTCACTGAAGGGCTTTAGGGGAGGGACTGCCAGCACCCTGTTTTTTATTGGGGGTCTCTCTGCCTGCAGGGCAGACAGTGGGGTGGGGAGGCGGGCTGGTGGCTGGGAGGAGTCGGGGCTGCTGAGGGGCAGTGGGGAGGAGGAGGAGAGGGTGGGGAACCCACTGGACAGAGCGGAGGAGCCCCAGGTCTGTGGACCTTCCCCAGGGGATGTATGCCTGCAGGAGACTGGGGGTCCCGGATTGGAGGAACTCAGAAAGTTTCTGTTGGAAGGGGACAGAGTGATAAAAAGAAAAAAGAAAAAGGGGCGTGCCCTCGCTGGTGTGGCTCGATGGAAAGAGCAGTGGCCTGTGGACTGAAGAGTCCCAGCTTTGATTCTGGCCACGGGCATGTATATGCCTGGGTTGTGGCTCCATCCCCAGTAGGGGGTGTGCAGGAGGCAGCCGATCAATGGATTCTCTCTCATCATGGATGTTTCTATCTCTCCCTCTCCCTTCCTTTCTGAAATCAATAAAATATATTTTAAAAAAGAAGAAGGGGGGCAGAGGAAGAGGGGATTGAGAAAGACAGCTGGAGGGATAGGAGGGAACTTGAAGGTTAGGGAGGAGGGGCTCCCTGGGAGTGGAGGTCGGCCTTGCAGGCTGACGCATCTGGCGGACTTAGCTGTCTGGGCGGCCTGGGAGGGCCTGTGACCGGGAGGGAAGGACCCAGCTAGGAGGAACGGGAGATACCGTCGGCCGTCTCAGGTGTCTGCCAGGCTCCGCAGTTTGAACTTTGACCTGTGGCAGTGGGCAGCCAGGGAAGATTCATGGGCGAGGCCGTGACTGCCAACAACAACAGTAATAGTAATCCCAGCTTGGGCGGGCTGCACACTCACCGCGGTCAAGCCCTGGGTCTTTTTTTTTAAAACATATTTTATTGATTTTTTTTATATAGAGAGGAAGGGAGAGGGATAGAGAGTTAGAAACATTAATCAGTTTCTAAGGCTCTAAGGCGGGGCGCGTGGAACATCTGACCTGGGAGCCGGGGCAGCTCCCTGGCCCCTGCCGTGGAGGGGACGCTAACCACCTCGCCTCCTGTGGCCGAGGTCTCTGCCCCCCGGGCTGGCAGGCCGTTCCTCTGTGTGGCTCTCTGGGCAGCTGGGGAGTGAGGGGCCTCCTGTGTCCTCTGCCCACTGCTCTGCCTGGGAAGGGGGTCCAGGGGCTCCGCCTCCCCGGCCCACCACCTGCCGCCCCCCCCCCCCAGCACCACGCCCAGGCCCGCGTGGACATCTACGAGAAGCAGCTGGTGCCCTTCGGTCTGGTGCGCTTTGGCGTGGCGCCCGACCACCCCGAGGTGAAGGTGGGTCTCCGGGCGCGGAGGGCAGGGGTGGAGACCTCGGTCAAGGCGAGGAGGGAGGGAATGGAATGACCCCGGACCCTGTAGATGCCACCGAGATCCCATCCCAGGGACACTGTGGGGCGAGGGTGGCACAAGCATGGCTCCCTCTGACCCCTGCCATCGGGGCCCGGCAGAACGTCACCCACACCTTCACCCAGACGGCCCGCTCTGACCGCTGCGCCTTCCACGGCAACGTGGTGGTGGGCAGGGACGTGACCGTGCCGGAGCTGCGCGAGGCCTACCACGCCGTGGTGCTGGTGAGTGCCCGTGGCGAGGAGGGGCCGGGGCAGGGCAGGAGGCGGAGGCTGAGGGCTGGAAGGCAGAGGGCGAGGCCCGGGGCGGGGTGGCGGGGTGGGTAGGGGACTGGGGAGTAAGCACAGGAGGCTGGCGGGCTGTCTGGCCCTGTGGCTGGCGCTGAGGGCCCTGGTCTGTCCTCAGAGCTATGGAGCGGAGGACCACCGGGCGCTGGGGATCCCCGGCGAGGAGCTGCCGGGCGTGTTCTCGGCGCGGGCCTTTGTGGGCTGGTACAACGGGCTCCCTGAGAACCGGGAGGTGAGTTGGGGAGCACTGCTGCTGCCTCTCAGCCGGGGCGGGGGCAGCTCTTAGAGGCCGGAGCTGGGGGAAGAAGGACTGGAAGGCTCCTGGGAGATGAGAGGAGAGACATGAGGCTGGTGAGGTGGGAGGTCACCCGTGGAAGAGAGGGGTGGGGCCAGGTGGGGTGGAGGGCCGAGTGGAGGCTCCGATGGAGTGGATTTCTCCAGGGTGGGGGAGCCCAACCAGAGCCAAGGCTAGGGACACCCACCCAGACCTCTCCCCTCCAGCTGGCTCCAGACCTGAGCTGCGACACAGCCATGATTCTGGGGCACGGGAATGTGGCCCTGGATGTGGCCCGGATCCTGCTGACCCCACCTGAGCAGCTGGAGGTGAGTGGAAGTGTCTGGTGTGCCTCAGGACCTTTGCACATACCACTCCCCCCGCTAGGAACCCTCTCAGCTCACCTCCTGCTGGTTCATCTTTTAGTTCTTGCTCAGTTGTCCCCTCAGGAAGCCTTATGCTCCCTAATAGACTTGTCTACTGTGTCACAGCATGTGACCTCTTTCGTGTCACATTTTTTCATCCGTGAGTAGCTCACAAGTATCTCTTCCTCCATCGGAGCAGGAGCTCTGTGAGGGCGGGCACCATGTCTCTTTTGTGCACCATTAGCACCTCCCTCCCCCTGCCCCTTGCATGGTGCCCTGCACATGGTAAACTTGTTGAGGGAAAGCATGCACCCGGTTTGCTACTCTCAATAGTTTGAGCCATTTGCAGAATTGGCGACAGTGCAGTGCTCCACATGGCCACCAGGTGGGGGCAGAGGTACACTTTCCAGCTGTCCCCTCTCAGGCTCTGGGTAGGGACATGGGGAAGTGGAGAGGCTTAGTGTTGGGTGGATTTAAGGCCCTCCTTTCGTGCCAGAAAACGGACATCACGGAGGCTTCCCTGGGGATCCTGAGGCAGAGCCGGGTGAAGACGGTGTGGATAGTGGGCCGGCGTGGACCCTTGCAAGTGGCTTTCACCATTAAGGTGCTGGGCCAGAGAGAGGGGGGTCTGGGCCCTAAGACGGTCTTCCCTTGGGAGGGGAGCAGGGCAGAGCCCCTTGGAATGCTGCTGCCCAGGGTGGAAGAGGGGAGCCAGGCGGGGACGGGGGAAGGGTGTCCCCTTCCTGGCCCGGGCTCTGGGCTCTGGGGTGTGCTCAGGAGTGGATGTGCCCTGGGCCTGACCTCCTCACCCCTTCCCACCCCCACCCCCACCCCCAAGGAGCTTCGAGAGATGGTTCAGTTACCGGGAACCCGGCCCATGTTGGATCCTGCGGATTTCTTGGGCCTCCAGGACAGATTGAAGGGTGAGGGCCCTGGCCTGGCCCCCCGGCTCACCAGGGAGGGGATGGTCTAGGTCAGCAAGGGCTTGGGGAGGGCATGTGGGGAGAGGGCTGTACCCCGAGAACAGCCCTGAGGCGCTCTGTGTCGCCGACAGAGATGCCCCGCCCGCGGAAGCGGCTGACGGAGCTGCTGCTGCGAACAGCCACCGAGAAGCCGGAGCGGGAGGAGGCTGCCCGCCGGGCAGAGGCCTCCCGCGCCTGGGGCCTCCGTTTTCTCCGAAGCCCCCAGCAGGTGCTGCCCTCCCCGGACGGGCAGCGGGTGGCAGGCATCCGCCTGGCGGTCACCAGGCTGGAGGTGAGTTTCCTGTGACCCAGAGACACCCCTGTTCCCCAGCCTCCTCCCCTCGGCCGGGTGCTGCCCACACTCTCCCCAACAGGGTGTCGGGGAGACCGCCTGGGCAGTGCCCACTGGCGACACGGAGGACCTCCCTTGTGGGCTGGTGCTGAGCAGCGTTGGGTATAAGAGCCGCCCCATTGACCCCAGTGTGCCCTTTGACCCCAAACTTGGGGTCATCCCCAATACGGAGGGCCGGGTTGTGGATGTGCCAGGTGAGAGGGTGCAAGAAGGCCAGGCAGCACGCTATGGCGGGAACGGGGAGGCTGCTGTCTCCTGGGCCGTTCACATTCATCCATCCGTCCATCCGCCCGTCCATCCGTCCATCCGTCCATCCAGGGACACGCCCTGGGAAAGGGCCTGAGCCGAGCCCGGGGTCTGAGCAGCCCCTCCCCATCCTGCCCCGGGGAAGCTCCCAGTCTAGCTGGATGCCCCCCTATGGGTGCTCTCCAGTGGTTCCATTTCCTGAGGGAGGCCTGGCGGGGTGAGGCCTGCACTCAGCTGGGTTTGGAGATTAAAAAGCAGCCCCTGTCCAGGGGCTTCCAGGCGGGTTAGCTAGCCACACACCAGTCTGGTCCTTGGGTAGAAGTTTACGACCCCGTTCCCGCCCCCAGGGACACAGGGGTAAGGGGGGAGGGTATGGAAAACAGGTTCCGCAGAATCTGGGAGACGGGGCTGTGGCCACAGTGGGCCCACCTGCCGGGGCTGCTGGGAGGACGTGGGGTGTTGGACGTATGTGCACACAGGTGTCCGGCCACCGGCCCTTGCTTTACTCCTCTGTTACCCCCCTCCCCCCCTCCCCAGGCCTCTACTGCAGCGGCTGGGTGAAGCGGGGGCCCACGGGCGTCATCGCCACCACCATGACCGACAGCTTCCTCACCAGCCAGGCGCTGCTGCAGGACCTGGAGGCCGGGCTGCTGCCCGCCGGCCCCAGGCCCGGCCACGCGGCCATCGAGGCCCTGCTCAGCAGCCGAGGTCTGGGCCCCTGTGAGCCCCAGGAGCGGGGCGGGCGACCTGGGCCTTCCCGTTGGGAGGGGTGCCCTGGGCTGGGATGGAGGAAGGGGGGGGCAGTGACTCACTCCCCTCTGCCTCAGGCGTCCGGCCCATCTCCTTCTCGGACTGGGAGAAGCTGGATGCCACGGAGGTGTCCCGGGGCCAGCGCACTGGGAAGCCCAGGGAGAAGCTGCTGGATCCTCAGGAGATGCTCCGGCTGCTGGGGCGCTGAGCCCGGACCCCATCCCGGCGGGGAGGGGGGTGCTGCGCAGAGGAGAGGGGCCAGGTCGGTCTGAGCAGGACTCTGCACACAGCTGCGCCCCCGGCCCGCCCTGGCCCAGCGCCTTGGCGGCCTCTTCCAGGGACCAATGAGCACGCCCTCCTGCCAGAAGGTCACCCTGGCCAGCGCGGGTTTAACTCTCGGCGAGGAGATGGCCTCCGTTAGGGCGGGGTGCAGGTGCAGGCTGACCTCGCTCCCCCTCCCACCTCTCCTGCTGGACCGTGTGGGTCACCAGGCCCGGAAAATGCTGAAAATAAAACAGCTGCCACGGACAGCCAATGGCTGATGTGCCTGATTTCTTCTGGGGCCTGGGGTCACCTTCCAGCCGCAGCTCCCCTCCGGCCCCCAGGTGGCGCTGCAGAGCCAGCTCCCTGCTCTGGGGGCGGGGGGGGGGGGGGGGGTGGGGGTGCGGCTGGCGGTAGGTTTGGTAGCCAGGCCTGGCCTGAACCCTCCCTTTCCCTCCCGGGCCCTGCTGCTATGGCCTGCCTGCCTTCTGCCCACACTCCAGGCCCCCTGGCGCCCGGGCCTGCCTGCCCTGCTGGTCTCACCGGTCAGCTCCCGCTACAACTGAAACTAGAAAAACGGGAGCGAGGGGACTGGGCAGCGGCTTGACCACCCGTCCTGTGCGGGCGGGTCCCCTGCTCTGCTCCCAGCGCCTTCCCTGCGTGTCAGCTTCCAGCCAGTGCACAGCCGGCTGCACCCAAATCCCGGTAGCGCGTTGCAATTTGCAGTTTACAAAGCGTGTCCCCCGTCTAAATGCCAGCCCCCAAGGTGCTGCCTCGCTTTGCAGACTGGGGGATCCTCGAAATGAACCGGCCCAAGGTCGCACAGCTGGTGAGCCGCGGGCTCGAACCAGGCTCCGGGCTGGTGTTTGCTCCGAGGCCGCCGTGGTTTCCAGCCTCAGTCTGGAGACCCGTCCCGCGGGCAGCCAGAGGGGGCGGGGGAGCGGGGCCGGGCGGCGGGGCGGGCGGGGCGGAGGCGCGGGCCCGGGGAGCGCTGGCTCGGCCACCGCCGCCTGGGAGCCCCGGGAGCCGGCCGCGGACCGGGCGGCCGGAGGGGCGCGGGCGGGGGCGGGGGCGGGGGCGGGCCCAGGAGCCCAGCCCAGCCCGCCGGGCCGCCGGCACCGGCACCGGCACCGGCCGCGCTCCCCGGCTCTGCGCTCCGGCCGGAGCCGAGGCGCCGGACGGGCTCCGCGGAGGCAGCCGCGGCGCTGAGCGCGGCGCAGGGCCGTCCCCGGTGAGTGGCGGCGGGAGAGCCAGGGCGCAACTTCGCCAACTCGGGCTGGTCCCGGGGCCAGGGCGGCGGAGGCGGACGCGGGACCGCGGGGACTGGGCCGAGGCCGGAGCCGGAGGAGGGGCGGCCGGGGAGCGGGACCCCGGGGAGCGGGACCCGGGACCGGGCTGGGCTTTGCGCTCGGGCGGGAGGAGAGGAGGCGAGGAGGGGCCGAGGCGACAGGCGCGCGGCGGGCTGGAGGGGAGGACGGCGCTCCTCTCCGGGGTCGCCCAGCCCGCACTCCGGCCCCTTCCCGGGCGCTGCGGCCGCCGGGGGGTGGGGGTGGATGGGCTGGTGCGGGGCCGCGGGAGTCGGGGCTGCGGAGCCCCCAACTGTTGCTACGGGAAGGCGCTGGGGCCGGAGCGGAGCCGGGAGCAGGGACCGCAGGGATGGCGGGGACCGCGCTGGGTCCGAGCGGGGTGGCTGGAGCGGGTGGGAGGCAGGGGAGACGGTGTGTGTGTGTGTGTGTGTGTGTGTGTGTGTGTGTGTGTGTGTGACTCCAGGCGCCCGCCTCCGGCTCCCGGGGGTCCACGGAGCGCTTACAGAGCCGCCTGCCTGCACCCCCCCCCCTGCACCGCCCCGAGCGCCCCGCCTCCCCCACCCCGCCCCGCGCCTCTTCCCTCCGAGGCGGCCCTGAGCTCCCTCCTCGGACCCCGGCGAAGCAGCGCGGGCTTAGGGGTGGAGGGATCTTCCCCAATGCTGCCCCTGCGCCCCCCGGACCCAGGCTCTGGGCACGGAAGGAAAGGGTGGCCGGAGAGGCCCTGGGGGAGCCGGGAGCCGGTGGCGCTGGGAGCCCGGAGCCCGGGGCGCTGGGAGCCCGCGGCGCCGGCCTTGGCCACCGCGCCAGCAGGTGGCTCTGACCCCGAGGCCACGACCCCGATCCCCGACGGGGAAGGGAAGCCGGAGCCTCTGGGAAGGCGGGTCCGGGCTAGGCTCGGTGGGCTGGGCCAGGGACGTGCCAAGGCCAAGGCTTCCAGCAGACAGATCCCCGAGGTGCGTCCCCGGCCCCTCCGGAGGCCCTGCGGGGCGAGCGAGGCGGGAATCCGCCGGGCCCTGTGCTCACCGCACGCCCACCTGGTTCCCCCCCGCCAGCGCGATGGGGCTTCCGGCTCCCCCCCCCGCCCCCATACCCCGGATGGTGGCTCCCCGTGGCTGGGTCCTCCAGGCTGGGCCAGGGGGAACCGAGGGAAGGAACCCGTGTCAGGTTGGGCTGCCCTGTCCGGAGCCCGTCTGGTTTCTGGCCGTGCCCGTCAGCTACGCACCTGTTTGGGAACTCCCTGCTAGGAGCTGGCATAGGAACTTGGAGGGGCCCGTCTGGCCGGAAACCGGGCTCCAGGGTTTCCTCCCGGCCCCGGGCTGGCCTAGCTGTGCCCCGCAGAGCCCGCCTGCAGGGAGCCCGAACCCCACCCCACCCCACCCGCCAGCGGCTGCGGGCCGCCACTCCGCTGGGGGAGAGGGAGCGGGGCCCGGGAACCGGACGCCCCCGTGGGTGGCGGGAGGCGGGGGGCGCGGGTGCGGGTGCCTGTCTGGCCGCCAGGAGGCGTGGCGCGGTCCCCGAGCCGGAGTCACCCCGCCGCCGCCGCCGCCGCCGCATCGCGAGTGTCCTTGAGCCGCGCGTGGCGGTAGCTCCCGCCGCTCCAGCCCCCTCCCCTCCTCCTGACGCCACGTCCCTGTGAATTTTATCGCCGCTAAAAATACCCGAACTTCACAGCCCGGGTGAGAGATCCGGGCCGATGGGCGGGGGTGGGGACGGGGAGGGGGCGCGGGAGCAGCTGGAGGAGGGAGACCTCCGTGCGGGAACCGGGGCGGCGGGTGCAGGACCGGGGGCCGCCTTCTCCCCTGCCCTTGGGCCCCTGGGTGCGGGTTTGGCTCCGCCAAAGGGAGGAGGGAAACCCGACGGCAGAGCCGAGGCCGCTCGCAGGGAGGGAAGCAGCGCAGCTGGTGGCTCCTGACCCGGCGGAGGGGGCCCTCAGAGCCGGTGTGAGTGTGAGTGTGTGTGAATGTGAGTGTGTGTGAGGGTGTGTGAGGGTGTGTGTGTGAGTGTGTGTGTGTGTATGTGAGTGTGTGAATGTGTGTGTGAGTGTGTGTGTGTGTGTATGAGTGTGTGAATGTGTGTGTGAGTATGTGTGTATGAGTGTATGTGTATGTGTGTGAATGTGTGTGTGAGTGTGTGTGTGTATGAGTGTGTGAATGTGTGTGTGTGAATGTGAGTGTGTGAATGTGTGTGTGAGTGTGTGTGTGTATGAGTGTGTGAATGTGTGTGTGAGTATGTGTGTATGAGTGTGTGTGTATGTGTGTGAATGTGTGTGTGTGTGTGTGTATGAGTGTGTGAATGTGTGTGTGAGTGTGTATGAGTGAGTGTGTGTGTGGGTGCGCGCGTGCACAGGTCCGTGTTCTGAGCTTGCCAGAGACTGGGGGAGCTAGGAGAGCGGGTGGGGGAAGTGTCCTCCCGGGGCCATGTAGGGGCCTGTTCACCAAACATTAACTTCTGCGTGTTGTGCGTGTGTGGAAGGAATGGCCGCAAGCGGGTGGGCAGAGCTCTCTACGACAGTCCTCTGTGGGGTGGGGCAAGACTGAGGGGCAGTACCTGCCAGGGGCAAACGACAGGCGCCACCTCAGAGGCAGAGCCTGCTGCTCCCCACCCCCAGAGGTGTGTGTGGGGGGGAGGGGCAGTGCACCTGGCTGGAGCCCCGCCAGGCCCCAGGTCTTCTCACCGGACCGGAGCCTGGACCGACGGAGGCCGGTGCGGGAGAGGGACGGGGACGGAGCGGGAGAGGGACGGAGGTTGGGCTCCGGCAGGTCTGGAATCCTGCCCTGGAGAACAGCCTGCGGGGCAGCAGAGCGAGGCCGGAGACGAGGCCTGGGGGCTGGCAGGAGAGTGGGCTCCGTGGAGGGGAGGGCAGGGGGTCAGGGTGTGTGGAGAGCGGGCCCAGCTGTCTGCCTTCCTCTGTGGTGCTGTTGGAGGAGGGGGTTGAGGCCGGCGGCCGGCAGGGTGGGCGGAGGGGGGTGGGGGGGTGGAGAGGTGAGAGGCCCGGGAAGGCGAGTGGCAGGTGGGATTGGCCAGGGCTGGGGTCCGCCCTCCTGTCTTGCAGGGGCTGGGTGCCACGGGGTGACAAATCCTGGAACCTTCCCGTTGCTGTTTGAAGCTCAGAGACTGGCTGCCCCCGGCGCCTCCCTCCAGGGTCTCTGTGATCACTCCCGGGGAGAGGCCCCCCCTGCCTCAACCTCCCCTGCTCCTCCGCTCCTCCCTCCAATCCCGGAGGACGTCCCCCCCCCCGAAAGCGGCCCTGGGCCGTGCCAGGAGCCGAGAGCCGGGGCGTGCTGTCCACAGGAGAGAACGGAGGGCTGCATGTGTAATTAAAATTTTTCTCCTAGTCGCCTCAGACAAAGTAAGAAGAAACAGGCGAATTTAATTAAATTTATTTATTATTTTTAATTGCTTTTTTACAGAGGAAGGGAGAGGGATAGAGATTTAGAAACATCGATGAGAGAGAAACATCGGCCAGCTGCTTCCTGCACACCCCCAACTGGGGATGTGCCCGCAACCAAGGTACATGCCCTTGACTCGAATTGAACCTGGGACCCTTCAGTCCGCAGGTCGACGCTCTATCTACTGAGCCAAACCGGCTAGGGTGTGAATTTAATTTTGACGCTCTATCTACTGAGCCAAACTGGCTAGGGTGTGAATGTAATTTTAATAGTATATTTTATTTAACTCGATGCATCTGAGAGGGCATTAATGTAATGGGACCTAAAGTGATCAGTGAGGTATTTTACTTCCTTTGTTCTGACCACGTCTTTGATCTCCATGTGTGTTTCCTGCCGGTGGCACCCCCGGACGAGCCGCGTTCCTAGTGCCCAAGCCCCAGGGGCGGCGGCTGCTGCACTGGTCAGCCCGTCTCTGAGCTCGGAGCTGGCAGGCTGAGGCTGGGGGGTGCTTAGGGCTTCTCAGAGGTGGGCAGCCTGCGGGGGCGGGCAGTGTGGGCACAGGTGGGCATGACAGGGTG